GTGCACTTCCACCTCTAAGTATTTCTCACTAATTGGTGGTCATTTTACTCATAGATATACACTGTGAGGAAAAATGTATTTCAAAACATGATGTCTGTATTAGGTAGAGGGTTGTCTTGGTTCTACCGTAATTTTAAAAAATATATGAGTATGTAAGCATTTAAACTAAAATGGTTCTTCTGTTAAGATCAATTAAATCTTAATTACTGATGAAGATTATCTGAAACTACATGATACCATTTAGCTAGATTCCTTTGACTTGCATCCAGATTTAACTTTGATTTTATGGAAATGGTGAAAGTAACTGCAGTGGAAGAGGTGGCAGCTGTAAGTGTTGCCTGTCTTGCATACTGCCTGAAAGCATTACTATTCATTAAAATAACCTTCACTTTGTAGTAACACTCAAGCTGTAAACAGTCAACTTAGATTCTGGAGAACACACAGCACAAAAAGTAAAGAAATGTCTGTCTTTGCAAAGTAATTTGTCGAGTTGAAGATTATTGTTTTTCATCATGGTGACCCTGACTTGGCTGGCTGGGTGCATATACAGATTAAGATTAATGCAGTTATTCCTTGGCTAAGGTCTGCCTCTTTCAGGGCACATTCTCCCTAATGACATGATTGATAGGCAGTCCCAAATCCGGAGAGGAACTCATTAATCATAGCATTGACTGAATCCAATCATTTGCTTCACCTGCACAGTGATGGACAGGAAAGGATACAATTCAGGAGCTGACACTGAGATACTCCTTTGTCAGAGGGCCTCAACTTTTTCAATGTCAGCCTCTACAAAACCTGACAAGAAATTTTTTTTGCAACCTGTATGCAGTTTCAAAAACATACCTGCAAACTTATTTTCTTGTAAAAAGGTCTTTAAAAAAAAATTTTACTCTAGCTAATGAATATCTCTAAGTCAAAGTAGGATTTTCTTTATTTTTTAGCAAGGCTATATGATCTTAAAGTTCCTCCCGTTTTTGAGAAGGATGTTTTGAAGCTACATGTGGAAGCAATATCAAACTTAATGTCCAGCAGCTGGGTGTCATTTGGTTCCGTCTTCAGGTCAGCTGCACTGACTCTTAGCAGAACTAATTTTATAATCATGGCAAAATCTCAGTAATGAACTGCAGTATACAGCTGATTACGCCACAGTAAATTTTATTTAGTCTTGGAAACAGTGGAAAACCATGAGTTGTAAGAATACTTACATTGCAAAGTGTAGCATGATCCCAATAACAACAAGAAAATTCGTGTGGAATATATGTGTACATTGAATATCATAATTTTTTGCACTGGTATAGTTTGAAATGTTTAAATTCTTTTTGTCATCCATTATTACTGTGTAAATAATGTTCAAAATCAACAATATGTATATAGATCCTTCTAAAAGAAATGTTTTAGAACTCTATCTTGCACATTCCTGGTGTGGTGATAGTAGACTCTTTTTCTGGAAGAATAATCAGGATAGTGACTTTTGCTAAGTGTCTGTTACAGAAAGAAACAGGAGTGGGGCACATATTTTTAAAAGGCAACAAGTGTCAAAGGCCAATTTAAAATACCCACTGGTAAGCACACTGCCACGAAGCACCCAGCCTATATTTAGCATAATAGGCTCCCCCTTTTGACACTTTAATTAGTCTTCAATGTGTTTTACAACAGGTGTAAAGAGGACTCTACAAAAGACAAAATACCAAAGAGCTATTTCAGGCATCAAAGATACTTTTTATCCACAAAGAGAAAATACAAATTATTTCTTACATGTTCTTAAAAAGAAATGTTTTGTTTTCATCTCATGATTATAGCAATCTCAACAATTGCAGTAATGGGAAAATGTTTTATAGATAGGAGTATAAATGCAGTAAAGACATGTTTTAGAAGAAACGATTCAATTTTTGAAAATGCTTTCAGGTGCTTAATTCTAAGGTGCTGTTTATGTGAGCAGCAGCGGTTTGGGAAGGCTTACCTATTTCAGGGAAGTCTTTATGGATGCTTTGAATCTGAGATTTACATCAACTCTCCACACTCCATCTCCATGATTACTCTCCATCTTTACAATTCTTCACTACTGATATGTATATGCTTTCTTTGTATTTAGTGCATTTATGACAATAGAGAAAAGCACGGCCTTACAAGAAGGAGATATTGCTCTTGAACTGACTGAGCAGAAAATAAACACGATGGTCCTGGATCTCTGCCACAAACCAGGTGGCAGCGAGTACCTGAGGCAAATTTATCACATCATGCAGCTCAATGAGGTAGGGAAACGGCCTTTTTACCGAGCAATTAGGTGTGTACTGGCCTGAAGCAGCGTCTGCTGGCAGCTAAGGGTTAGTCAAGGAGGTGATAATACTTCTTAAAGTCAATACCAAACTCAATATTGCATTATTAATAGAATCTATTCAGCCCCGGCTGTTCTGCATTTGTACAGAAAAAGCTTCACTGAAACAATGTAGATTTTATTTATATGGTTTAAACAATAACACGGCTCATAAACTCAGTTCAGTTCTTAATTGTAGACACTAGAGGTGTAGTTTGGGAATTCTGTGTTTGTGACTGTTAGACTGATGTTAAAATCTGGTATTTGTACAATGAATTTTCAGAAGAGAGACTTAGCTCTTTTCCTGCAGATATCATGCTTGTGTTGGTGAAGTTGGAGATTTCTTATTTAATCAAAAAACTTAAGAAGAATATTGAACTATATTCAGGAGCAACCAGATGAACCGAGGAAAATTCATTAATACCCAGACGCTGGTTGAACCAATGTTATGCCTTTCTATCCCCTTGCCCTCTGACTTTGCATGTTTTTGGCTGTTTTAGTGAAAATGTAAATAGCACGTTATCTCAGCTATTGAAACAAAGTTCTCTAACTTAATCAGGTTTTGAATTTTATCATATGTGTCTGAATTAGATTGTGGCATCTAATTGTGTTTATATTTGCAAATACATGAATGTAATTTTTGGAATAGTAAAAATTGTATAATGTGAATATATAGTGTTTTAGTTTTATCTATATAACATAGGCCTTTATAACCATACATTTTCAAGGGATAAATTAAATTCGACAATAGCATGTTACAACTTGATTATATAAATGTTTTGCCCACCATTAGCTATCTGAAAGTTACTTCAAGTATACCTTGTTTCCTGGATTTCATAGAACTAATCAAACAGTCAATAAACAGGTGATATAACAATGGCCTCAGAAGGATGTAAGAAATTTGTAGCTATGAGATATGACCCTGTCCTTAAGGCACCAGAGCTCAGTTTGTAATTGTTACAAAGTAACACAACCTATTCACTCTTGTCAGTGATCCCTCATAGCTTGCTTAGGGTTTCTATCTGAGAAACTCAGGAACCCCTCACCTTGGCAAACTGAAAGACCTCTATTGCAAAGTGATGCTCCTCATTGGGTATGTCCACCTGGCCATTCTGATTGGCCAAAGTAATTGTGGTGACTACTGAGGAACAGATGTTGCAGTGTGGTTACCTCCATATCCTTAGTTAAACAGTGTTACAATAGCTCTGAGGATGGTAAAGCTGGTCTGAATTGCCAAACTGATAGAATTGTCCTATTTTTAAAAGGTACATAATATTAAAAAGCTCAACAATCACCAATAAGCAAGATCATCCAAAATTGAATTGGCTATTTATTGGCCATCAATTATCTGGTTATACTCTGGAAAGCCAAAAGCTGTACTTCCCTCATAGAGCTCCTATAACTCTGAGATAGTGGTTCTGAACAGGATACCATGAGATTACACTGGGGTACCACCACATTTTGCTCAGTGTTATGATTTCTCTTGTTACAACTGAGTATATTTACTGTTATAGTAATGTCTATCAGATGGGCTATAGAGCTAAGTATCTGGTGGTTTACTGGGCTGAATGAAGCACGGCACTGCAAGGTAAGAGGCATAATGCTAGGTGAGGCTAGAAGCAAAGAGAGACCGTTGCCTTGTAACTATTACAAAAACACAGGCAATAAGCCCAAACAACACAAGCATGACTAGGTGACTGGTATGGTACTTATGACTGCTTTTCCACTGTGAGGTACTGCTATGCTGTAAGTGACATTGCATTGTGATGTTTGCTCATTTCATGAGTAGTGTTATGAGTCTTTAGCACCTTCAAATGTGCTGCTAAATATTTCTCAATAATGTAATGTAAATAGTGAAGCATTTATGGGTACAGGCCTAGGTGAGGGGAAGATTGGGTGTGCCATTCATAGAGACCAAGAAGTTATCAGGGAAAATGGGGTTAAAGATGCTTTGTCTTGGAGATAAAGATAAGATGTCCAAGCAAAAATGTCTCATTATAGTTAAGGCCCTGACCATGATGTTGTGCCACACTCCTATCGACTCCAGTGGGGATGGTACCAGGTTCAAGAGGCTGAAGAGACCCAGAGCTGGCCCACAAGACATGGGGTTTTATTGGGAGCTTACGTACAGGGAAGAGAGGCCAGTGGTAGTGGGCTGGGCAGGAAAACCACAGCTACTTGCAAGAGGCATGCAGTTTATACAGCATTTTCATTTAGCACCGTCTACCTAGCAACCTCTACCTGACGACCTTCATTTAACCCAAAACAAAGGGCCTCAATCCCCTGTATGGCTCTAGTACTGCGGGATGGGCCAGGGGCTTAGAGGTTCCTCATAGATAAAGAATGGATCTCGGGTTGGCCCCTCCCAGATTCCTTAGCTTAGAACTCTGAAAACACATTCGAGTGCATCTGCCATACAGGGTCATTCTCAGGGTGTGATCAAGTAATCACTGTCAGGCGCATCTACCAGACACATGGGCACAAATGAGACCAGACATGCATACAGATTTGGTCTATATGAATGTGGTAGTTGAGGTCATCAGACTGACAAAGCTCTTCAGTGAAGAGAAATGGAGAAATGATGAATAGAGGAATAAGTTTTGACGTAAATGCACAGGGAAAGTGTTCAAGAAAGAATGGAAATCTAAAGATATGGCCCAATTAGTTGTAAATCTGATTAAAGCAGTGTCACAGTTAAAGAATCTGAGGTTTTTAAGAAGGGTTAGTGATGACTGTCAGTGCAGTACCTAGAAAGATCAACAAAGCAGAAAACTCCATTTTTTTCACAATTTGCCACAGAACAGTTTCTCTTTTTCGAATAGTGGAAACGGTCAAAATGTAGTTACATAAGGTGAAATCAGTTAAGACAGATTGTTGTTAGCCAAAACAAAGCATTTTTGTCAATGAAAGTATTCCTTTGAAAAATTTTATTTGCGTAAATCATAACGGAGAAAAGTTTTGTTTCTGTTCAATAATCTAAATCTAGGCATAAAACTATTTTCTGATGGCTTTATCATGAACAATATTTAGTAAGAGTCCATGTGTGACCCTCTATCAGACACTAAAGAATTAATCCTTCTACAAATATATGCTCTACAACAGGGGTCCCCAGCCCCTGGGCCACAGACCTCTACCAGTCCGTAGCCTGTTAGGAACTGGGCTGTACAGCAGGAGGTGAGTGGCGGGACAGTGAGCATTACCACCTGAGCTCCGCCTATGGTCATATCAGCAGCAGCATTAGATTCTCATAGGAGCATGAACCCTATTGTGAACTGCACATTTGAGGGATTTAGGTTGTGTGTTCCTTATGAGAACCTAATGCCTGATGATCTGAGGTGGAACAGTTTCATCCCAAAACCATATTCACCCTCCCTCGGTCCATGTCCATGGAAAAATTGTCTTCCACGAAACTGGTCCCTGGTGCCAAAAAGATTGGGGACTGCTGCTCTATAACAAGTAAGTTCAAGAAATGACTATGATTGTTAACTTCAGCAGTGGTTTCTTTCAATTTTTAGGGTTTATAATCTAAAATTTGCCTCTCATGATGAACACAGTGGGCATTCCTAAAGTTACAGAGGCACAGAAAAAAGCACAGTGAACTGAGGGCAGAAATGTGACTCCTCACCACAGCTGTACCTCTCACCCCTGTGTGATCTCAGGATTGTCCCGTGACCTTTCAGTGCCAACCATTGAGTGTGGCATTGGGCTAGAGATTCCCTGTGCCTATGGATCTCCAGGGAAATCCTCTATTTTTTTTTTTTTTGAGACGGAGTCTTTCTGTCGCCCAGGCTGGAGTGCAGTGGTGTGATCTCTACCTCCTGGGTTCAAGTGATGCTCTTGCCTCAGCCTCCTGAGTAGCTGGGATTACAGGTGCCCGCCACCACACTCAGCTAACTTTTGTATTTTTATTAGAGATGGGGTTTCACCATGTTGGCCAGGCTGGTCTGGAACTCCCAACCTCAGGTGATCTGCCCACCTCGGTCTCCCAAAGTGCTGGGATTACAGGTGTCAATCACTGCATCCAGCCAGGAATGCTCATTAACAGGCAAGTTCTGATTCAATAGGGTCCAAGAGTCTGCTTTTCTAACAAGCTCCCAGGTGAGGCTTAACTCAGCTGATCCAGTGCCCCAGACTTTGAGTAGCACAGGTTTCCTAAATGATGTCTGAATACCTTTTTGGCTCTAACATTCTGAACTTCATCCTAACCCTAACCTCAAAGAAAAAAAATTACCTTGTGATACGTGAAACATCACAAGAACATTTATATTTAAAAAAATCTATTAGATGACTTATTTATTAATAGTGAGCATTTATTAGTTGATGGGGACTTTTGGTCATTTTAATTTGTCATCTTCCAGAAAAAGTTCCATAAAATACATTAGGATTATTCACCTTATTTATTTATTGTGTGGAAAATGAGGTATAGTGTTGTAGATTGGCTTTTTCTGCCCAGGCCTGCACTGGCAGTTGGGGGCTTATGATGACATATTTTGAGTTTCTCTCGAACCTTGATATTTTTCACTCCATGGGATGGAAATAGAGTTTAGGAGTTTGCATTATAATTAATTCCGTGTTGAATGAGACTGCTTGCAGTAAAATATCAGAGTACTCAATGCTCTGCTGAGCCTGGAGTAGTTAACAACTATGCTTAATGAATGGATGAGCAACCTTGTACTGTGAATAATTATGCAGCTGAGTTAAGTTTTGGTAACCAGACACGTTAGGTGGCAAGACAATGCCTGTTAAAAAGCTCTGATATATCAAACATATATTCATTCTGTAAGAGTTTGGTCAATGGTTTCCTAATCTATACTACATATTAGGTAAACCTGTTTTTGATGGGTTTATTGCAATGCTGATTGGTACTCCACTATGTATCTTCTGAAAATGTATTCTTCCCTGAGGCAAGTAATACACTGTAATCTAGCAAATGTGCTGAAAGAATAAATTTGGATATTGATCAGTTTATTTTTACAGAGAATGTCTGCTTCTCACCGTCACAACTTGTAATTTCTTTTCTTTGAAGGAATATTTAAAAGAACAGCTGTTTTCTATGAATAGTTCAGAGGAAAAGCCATTACCCATCCGACCTTTAAAGGCGACCTTGAGGAGTATAGAAGATCAGCCTTCTGCCTTTAACCCTTTCCATGTGTATAAGGCGTTTAGTGAAAACATGCTAGATCAGGTATGTGGAAATTAAATGGTAAATTTAATTTAAATGTGTGGTTTCTTTACTCAACTAAGAAAAAATTGCTTTGTGTTTGAATATTTACTCATAAGCTTTTTTTGCTAGGAAGCAAAAGGCCTTGTTCTTACTTACATGGTCTGTACAAATTGACTTTTAAAAGTTATTTAACCTTTTTTCTATTTGTCAAACTGATTCATCTGTTTGGTCTGTAAAACTTAACTTTTGGCTGATCGGTTTACCATGGGCAGAGGGAACATCTGTTAGGCTGTGTCTACAGAGGGCTGAAGAACCAGGCATTTTGTAACATTCCTTTCCTCCCTTGTCACCCCCATCCCCCAAAACACACACTCACAAAATACCTTGCAACCTTTATGAATGTATCAGGCAAATTAGAACATAGTTAAAATTAATTATAAATAGAGCACTGAGCTCCTACTTTAAGTGGTATGGGGTAAATTTGCTTTTTATAACCATAGACACATTCCCAAATTTAAAACGAATTTGTTAATAATCTTAAAGCCAGGCTATTTGGAATAAAGTCAATATGGGAAACACCACACATTTTTAAATGTCAGATTATGCCATTATCTAAGCTGCATGTCTCAGTAGTTACACTGAAAAGATCATCTTTCTGCCGAAGTATTTGAAATCTAAAGTTGCTTTTGCTTTGTTCATTCTTCTGGTGGCTTTTCCCAGAAACCTCTTGACAGACAATTTGAACTAACAGGGCAGAAGAGAAGGATTGCTTGACCTAGAGCTCTGATGAAAATAAGAATTAAAACAATGACCTAATTCAGCATGCAGATAATATTTTTACCATGACTGTTACAGCTCTAGTCTACACTCATCAATACTGTAGTAGAGTAAGACCTTCAAATGCTGACAACCCAGGGCAGAATTCTGCTGCTCTATGACAGGATTGTAGTGCTCAATTAATCAGCAGGTGACAGGGGATAGCTCTTGTTGGATTTTAAACGTCAGTCTGGACTCCTGTTTTCAAAACTATTTCATTCTAAGGAGCATAAGCATTTATAATACTTTGAATATACTAAGTTTGAGTTTATTGGCTGCTTTTCTGTGTTGTGCATTAGATTGCTCCAAACCATAAATAATTATTAGAGCCGTTAAATTTTCCCTACTTCATTTAAATCAATGGCATATTTTATTGAGTTCTGAATTATGAGATTATTTTTCACAGTAATTTTTCTCCATAGTCTGTTGCGAAATTTCTATTAATGAGAAGAATCATTTATATAATTTACACTTACAGATCCTCATCATCTTCCCTTTAAAGCATTTTCTTAACCAAAAAGATAACATTAATATCATACTCTAATTAGGCTGTATCTTATAATTTGATTCTTAGCACTTCCAAGTTTGTTTTTTAATCAAACTTTTGGTTGCTGGAAAGAAAATCAAACAATAAATTGATATGATGTCTGAAAAAGTTCCCAATTATTTTTCTTTGCTTTTCAAACAGTCTCCTTCTCAGAGAAACTTGTTGGGGAAATGCCATTAACACTTGGAAGAATAACGACTCAAGAAATTGATTTATATTTTTATAAATAATGATTACATCCCCAAATGGATTTATAAATTAATTGCTATCTTATTGGAATAAAAACCTTCTTCTGTGGACATGATTGATGTTATCTGTCTAAGTCCTTGTTCTGGACCCCCCTCCTTCTTAGTTAGTCTATCACAGCTGGAGCTTTAATTTACTGATCATATTAACACTGATTAATAACTAACAATAGTGTCTTCTCATTTATCAACAGTCAGCCACCACAAAATGGAAGTGGAACTGGGCAAAGTTGCTGCCAAATTATCTGGGACTGGATAAGATGACCTTCAGTGTGCTGCTCAAAAACAGGTAATAAAATTGGGGATCTTGGGGGGTCTACTTGAAGGACAATGTTGTGTGTGTGTATGTGTGTGTGCATACACATACACAGATATTACTAGTGTATTTTTGGGAAAAGTGAAAACATTTTATCAGCAGTGGAATCTCTTTTATTTTCTTCCTTTCCAGCCTCCCATCTTTTAAAAGTATGACTAATGATAGGAGTATACTCTCTAAATACCATTCTCTATAGTGAAAATTTGTAAAAGGCAGTAACATTAATTTCAGAGATGAAATTAGTGGATTTTAGTCTGAATTTTAAATATTTTTGACTGTGTATATTTAATAGTTCACTATTGTAAAGACCAAAAGTTATTGACTTGAAAGTCATTATAATATTACACCTTTGTTTACAACAACTTAATGAATGTATATAAAATGCCAAGCCAAATCAACTAGTCTAATCAGGAAAACATGTGAGTAAAACTGTCATGATTGAATTTTTCACTTTTCAGCCAGTTATGTTGGCACAGTCTTAATATAGCCACAGTAGCATATTATTTTATACAAAGATACACACACACACACACACACACACAGACACACAGACACCAGTATAATCCAATGAAATGATAATGTGATTTCAGCCTAGGAAACAACATGTAATTTATTTTGCACAAAAGTATGAACATTTTGTTTTGGATCAATTAACATGGTTTTTAAAAAATACTTAAAGTTTCAGTAAAAACTATAAGGTGTAAACTTTAAAAATTTGGATTTTTAATCAAGTATAATACATTTTCAAATAAGATATCTTTTATGATATTCCTTTTATTGTTTGAGTCATCTGTGTGCTTATAGCTAAGTTTGAGACTTATCATCTATATGATCTTTGTGACATAGAATGTATTTCCATGTCTTTTTGCAAAAATATTGAGTATCTTTTTTTTGAAAGAAAATAATGACAATAACATAGTAGAATTGTCAAATCATTCTTGAGAAATCTGGATGAATATAAGAAAATACCCTAAGAGAGAGATTGCAGTATTTCCCAGAAGGAGGTTATAGAGGCAGCTTTACTGCCAATAAAAGCTATAGCTTAGATGTGAGGTTGCAATGGTATTTATAATATTTCACCGCTGAATTAAGCTCACCCACCCATCATAGACAAAGTTCAACAACACAGAAGCTTAATGATCAAGGCCAGAGCCTTTCCCCAGCAAGCTTACCACCTGGCTGGCAGCAGTCCAGATGTACTCAATCCTTTTTTTTTTTTTTTTTCCTGAGACGGAGTCTCGCTCTGTCGCCCAGGCTGGAGTGCAGTGGCCGGATCTCAGCTCACTGCAAGCTCTGCCTCCCGAGTTTATGCCATTCTCCTGCCTCAGCCTCCCTAGTAGTTGGGAGTATAGGTGCCCGCCACCTCGCCTGGCTAGTTTTTTTTTTTTTTAGTAGAGACAGATGTACCCTATTCTTACACAAGTCCCCAGAGGTTCACCTATACTGTCCCAGAGATATCTGGAGAGGTCAGAGGAGGGGTTGGTGGAGGAGAGACCAGATCCTCCGTTGAATCTATAGTGACATGATGTTTATACAATATTAAATGTCTGTCTGGAAACAAACTAGGAAAGATAAGTAATTATTTTTCTATTTGGAAAGTTTTGAGTTTATGTAGATTAACTGTATTATATTTTACTAAATATATTTTCAGTCATGAATTGCTGCTTCCAATCCACTAAATGGTCCTCTAGGGACAACACATCCTTCAAAACTTACTGTGTTTGCTTTTTATAATATTCACCTCTAAGTGAATTTGTGTTTTACGCAGAATTGCATATTTTTGTTTTTGTCTAAGGACTTTGGATCACTAGCTATTAAAGTGTATTTTCTTGAGATCTGTGCAGGAGTGGGTGGGAGAAAAGAACTCGTACAAATTTAGCCAGAAATAACAGGTCAAAACAGTTCTGTTGGAAAAGAGTCATGAATTTTTAATAGAAACAGCTAGAATCTCATCTTAATAAGAACCTTAGATTTTTAAAGAATGGTATGAAAATCATTCTACTGCAAAGCTACCACACACGAGCTATGATGAACTTAACTGATCCACCTTAGAAGGATTAAAGACACCTGAGGGTTTTCAATCTTTTCTATCACTCTCCCATTTATTTTAAGAATATTATTTATGAGTTTTGTTTAATATTGAACCGGTAAGGAAATTGTTAGTTTCTCGATGACACCCTCTTGTCTCTCTTGTTTGAACTTATCTGAAAATGCTGATTTTTTTAAGAGTACATTTAATTGTTGACAACATGGTTATCTGAAAGATACATACTTGAAAATTAGGCCATAGAACTTTGAGCTTTTAAAATGAGTTATATATGCTATCCAACACCTGAAAACTATGGTATTTGGGGTTAGGTGGAACCAAAGGGAAGAATTCAGAGCAGTTCAGCTGAATATGCTCAGTTTTTTCCTCCCAAATTCACCAATTAAATGAGTCACTTGTTCTCTTTTTGCTCCTTTCATTGGTAATATATTTGTATTAGTCTATCTCTATACTATGTTCTAGTGTATGTATGGGGCTGTGAATGATGTCTGAGGACATAATATTACAAGGAAAAGTGAACTGAAATATACAAGTATGAAAAAAGTTGAAGAGAAGGGAAAAGAATCCTTTCTATTCACCTTAAATTCATTTGTGCCTTGTCTTCAACGTTCATATAATAAGCAGGCCATCTGTGGAATTAGTCTCCCCATATGCCTAGAGTGCACTAGACCTCCCTCACCCCCTAAATAAGACGGAGACTAGAAAGCAGGATTCCTGGGTTCTCAGGCACTTACCTTTGACTTTAGATTTCCTTATCTTTAAAATAAAATAATAATAATTGTAAAGCTGCTTCATGGAGATTGTTGACACGGTCAAAAGTGCTAAAGTATTTGGAAGTGTTTTTGAAAGCTGATAACACAATACAGTCATCCCTCAGTATTCATTAGGGATTGGTCCCAAGACCCCCTCAGATACTAAATTCTGCAGATGCCAAGTCCCTGATATAAAATGCTGTCATATTTGCAAATAACCTATGCATATCTGCCCATGTACTTTAAATCATCTCTAGATTACTTTCAATACCTAATGCAATTCTCACATATCACTGCATTTGTGTGGATGCAATGTAATACTCGGCATGCAACAAATTCAAGTTTTGCTTTTTGGAACCCGGTGGAACTCTTTTCCCCAAATATTTTCTATCTGAGGTTGACTGAATTCATGGATGCAGACCCCACAGACACAGAGGCACCACTGTACATATTCAAAAAAGTAGTAACACAGCAGCGGTTTTGGTGTCTAGTCAGGTAAGGAAACTATAAAGTCCATTAAGGATTGGTAGGAAGTTGTTGTAAGATCGAACACTCAGAACACTCAGGTTATGTGGACCCCAGGCCTAAATCAATAGTGAGGATCAGAAAAAGTATCAGATCAGAAACCAGGCAACAGGCCCACAGGTCTGGAAGACAAACAGAAAATGAGCAAGAATGAAGGTCAAAAAGCCAAGTGAACCACTCAGGTAATAAAGACCCAGGAGATAAAGACTTCAGGGGCAGCTCAGACACATGAAAGAGGAGATCTGTAGGGCCACAATAATGTCTATATCTGAGTCAGTTCTGGCCTTTGTTCCACAGGCTGGTTCTGGGCTGACTCCAAAGGCAGAACAAATCTTGAAGCAGCTGCCTGAGTCCTTGGCAAAAATGTGTTCTTCACTCACTGTCTGGCCTCATCTCAAAACACCTCCTTCCGACTCATGATGCTCTAAATAGAATTCTTTCTTTAAGTTCTTTGGATTCTCTAAACGCTTTCCCGCTTCAGGGTCTTAGTATTTGCAGTTCCCTCAGCTCTTCACATGGCTGGTGCCATCTTGTCCATCTGAGACAAATGTTACCTCCTGAGGAGACTTGTCTATTTCAATTGTCTAAAAGGACCCTCCAGGCTACCCTAGCATTCTACTCTACTGTGTTTTCTTGAGTTATTGTTAACTGAAATATTTGTTTCTGTTTATTTATTGTCTTTTAATTTTACCCTCTGTGGTAGAATGTAAACTCCATAAGAATAGCACCTTGTTTGCCTTATCCTGGTGGTGTCTTCAGTACCTAGAACAGCCCTTGGGCACAGAGCAGGCTCTAAGTAGTGTGTGTTGAATTAATTAATAAACAAATGAAGAATAAGAATGCAGAGAAAAAGTCAGCTCCTGACAGATGAGCACAGGTTAGGTATTCTTATGTGATGTTTGATTAATAGACATGTAGGTATTATAAGAATATTTGCTGGAAAATCTGAAGTAAAAAAGTATCTATATGCATATTCATTCTCTTCATTTTCCAAATTTGGGTGAAAGTCAGGTTATTTAAGCTCCGTATGTTTAAAATGTCTGTTGTAATAGCCACAAAAAGAATAAAATATTGGCCGGGCGCAGAGGCTCACACCTGTAATGCCAGCACTTTGGGAGGCCGAGGCAGGCGGATCATGAGCTCAGGAGATCGAGACCATCCTGGCTAATACGGTGAAAAGCTGTCTTTACTAAAAATACAAGAAATTAGCCGGGCGTGGTGACCGGCACCATAGTCGCAGCTACTCGGAAGGCTGAGGCAGGAGAATGGCGTGAGCCTGGGAGGCGGAGCTTGCAGTGAGCCGAGGTCGCGCCACTGCACTCCAGCCTGGGCGACAGCACGAGATTCTGTCTTAAAAAAATAATAATAATAAAATAAAAGAATAAAATACCTAGGAATACAGCTAACCAGGAAGGTGAAACATCTCTACAACAGGAATTACAATACAAAGTACTGCTCAAAGAAATCAGAGATGAAAAAAAGCAAATGGAAATATTCCATGCTCATGGATAGGAATAATCAATATTGTTAAAATGGCCATACTGCCCAAAGTAATTTACACATTCAATACTATTCCTATCAAACTACCAATAATGTTCTTCACTGAATTACTTATTTTAAAATTAATGTGGAACCAAAAAAGAGCCCGA